TTATTCGCGGGTGAAAAAATTGCAACCCAGTTCCTGTATTCGCGGCTAAAAATTTCATTATTCGCGGATGCAATCGGTAAACAGAAAACGATTCGGTATCATTTATTAAGGGAATTGACCGCAATAGACCGCTTGTGCCTAGTGTGAATTTTTCCGAAAACATGGTTTCTATTCTAAGCATTGTGATTAACAGTGCGAGATAAATATGTGATTTTTTGTATGATAACAGACAAAGGTTCACACTAACGGTATGTTTTTGGTCTTCAATAAGATAGCCATTAAAAGCTTTTACAAGTGCTTAAAGTTGATGCATCATGTAGGACACGTATTTTCAATAAAAATTAAAAAATGGCATTCGACAAGCTCAAGAACAAAGCTTTATCTATCTTACTAAAAAGTTTCAAACCTCTGTTCCAAATATTAAACTCATGATATCTAGAACCGATAAGCATGTTTTACTCTACAGTGCGTATACTACTGAATTCGCTTAATGTATCGGCATCATTTGAGTATGTAGAGTTGGTATGTGCCGAAGCGGCTTTTATAAAAGATGTAACGGAGTGGACTAATTTCAAAATTCAAAAGAAGAAAAAATCGCTAAATTTTTTAAACTCTTGCTTAAAGCAGATTATAACGATTAATTTTAATTGCGAATTTATCAATACATTGATTTTATTTTGATACATATTGGTTTCATTTCGGAACCTTACAACGTATCCCCTATGATTCCATACTAATTGCCATTCCATATCCACGGTTTCTGTATTCGCGGCACATTTATAGAACGTATACCCCGCGAATAAAGAACTTTTACTGAATATCAATAGAATATCTAATAACCGAGTCAATGTTCTCAAAATGTATAATATGAAAGCGAAAAGGTCCACTTTTCGTGCATCTGAAGTTCATGTTATTCTAAACTACCTATACCATCAAATAATTGCCTTTGTTTCGTTCTCAATTTATTGTCAATTAGTTTTCCTAAACTCTTCTGTGTAAACCCCCGTATTGATCTGATGAACAAATGCCCGCAGGTTGTAAATTTTAAGTGCCCGATTTGGTGATGTTAATGATGATGATAATGATGATGACGGCAAGAGCACCGCAATCGGTTCGCCTTCTTCGTCTTCCTTGTGCTTGAATTCCGCCATTATTTAATTAAACCTTCGTCCAGACCATCTCATCGTAATGTTCAGTTATATTATTTGAACGAAATTATTATTACTTAACCGACGCGTTTGTGGGAAATGGTTTATTATACCGTTAAACATAAGTACCTAAGTCTTCCAAAATTGATCGCATTTTCACATGAGCGCTTTACAATGTCTTAAATTAAATAACTGTTTGTACTTGAAGAGATGGTTCAGTTGCCGTGTGTGTAGATTTGCGGAAATTTCTTTTATTATATGTTATTACGAGTTGGAAATTAAGTTTACTTTTGGTTGGTTAATTGCGTACTTGGGTTACATTTGAAGATTTTGTAAATTACAATGGTTTCTAATTATATAAGCACTTAATCATCGCAATACAATAGCGACTTATGGTATGCACTTTTTCATACCCCTATAGGAAGTACATAAGATATTTTTCCCTGATTTCAGAAACGAAAGAGTAATATTTCTCCCCTAGTAACAAAACGCATTTGCTCCATTTTAGGAAAGGATTTTACAATCCTTCGCGTAGAAACCACGCCACGCCTTCTGGGAAGGTGTATTACTCATTCTTGTTCCCGAAATCGGAAAAAATCGTACAGGAATATGACAAAAAATCTTATGGAGACTTCTGCAAGAAAGTACTATACTATTTCCCGAGAGTTTGGCACCCTCGCCTTCGTCTCGGTTGACAATTTACACCCTAGAGGAAATGCGTAATGTACTATCTTGTCAAAGGAAGTTGTACAAGTAGAAAACCCTAGAAACTGTCGAAAACTTCTGCACTTACTTAAGGGTCCTTATATCTAAAGAATCTCTGGGGATGGGCAATGGGCAACTTACATTCACCCAAAGAAAATCATTATGGTCTTTTTGTAAGAGCAATTTGAATACGTAAAACTATTTCAAAATGTCGAATTCGTTTTTAAATTAACCTTTCGTGCAACACATTTCCAATCTGCCTTATCTAAAAATATTTTATGTTCGTTCTTGTTTTTAAAAATGTTTCCCTGCTTAATAATTTTTTATTTGAATGGTCCTGTAATAAGTAGTAAGTTACATAATAGCCATATGATTTCTTCCTACCTTTTCTTTTGCGAGCACAGAGGTCTAGCACTAGCCTAACCCCGTGGGTTTCTATGTGTAGAAGGTAAAGGTTGATCGCTGTTGCTGCCGTTGAACTCACGTTGCGAGCGAGAGCGGATTTGCGACGCCGATACGCGACCGCGTGGGTACAAACGTTACTTACAATCACCACACCGGCGAACGAAAGAAAGCGCACTTGAGCGAGAGGACGGCGAAAGAGCACCGCGAGAGTCAAGTCCAAAGTCACCGTCGAAAGACTTATACAGCAGAACTAAACGGCTAACTGCAAATTCAAGTCCAAGTTCACTGCCGGAGTCACGTCCGTCGTCGCCGAAGGAGTAGTAGTAGTAGTAGTAGTGCCTACTAAAAGTTGGTAGTGGAGTAATGTGGTATGTACGAGGTATTCTTCTCTCTATCGCTGCGGCCGTTCTACCGCACCTCGGCTTCGTACAAGAAATGAAACTAATGCACAGGTGCCTAGTTTTATACAGACGATGGAGGCGGTTCTGCAAGGATGGCCATTGGCTTAACCATGAAGAAGAAGAGGAAGAAAAAGATGAAGTAGAGGAAGAATAAGGCGACGGCTACGACGACGAGGACTCTATTATACAGGGTCTACCAGAAAGCATTACCGTAAAGCAGATTTTAAGATTTAGAAATTGCTTGAATTCGTCTAAATTTGGACAATGGATACCATTGTTGATGGAGCGTAGTATAGGGTTGTTCGAAAAGTCATTTCGTTTTTTCCTGACAGAGGATTTAATTGTATTCTTTTGCACCCAACTTCACATTTAAGCCGTATAATTTTTATATGCTTTGAGAGCTCATATAGCAAGGCTTGTGTGTGAAAAATTCCAATTAATTCTACGCAGTAGTTTTTGGTTGGTGCCCTTTTAAATATGGAGAGCGATAAGCAGCATTTTCGACATATCTTACTGTTTTACTACAGAAAGGGTAAAAATGCTGTTCAAGCCAGAAAGAAATTGACTGATGTGTATGGAGAAGGTGTGTTGACAGTACGCCAGTGCCAGAACTGGTTCGCTAAATTTCGATCCGGCAATTTTGATGTCGAAGATGCACCACGTTCGGGAAGGCCGGTTGAAGCTGATAAAGACGCGATAAAGGCATTAGTTGATGTGAACCGGCGAATAACAACACGTGAGATCGGATTGAGGTTAAATTTATCAAATTCAACAGTTTATGACCACTTGAAAGGCCTGGGATTATCCTCGAAGCTCGATGTATGGGTTCCCCATGTTCTCACAGAGAGAAATCTGTGTCGCCGCATTGACGTCTGCGATTCGCTTCTCAAACGTCACGAAAATGATCCGTTTTTGAAGCGCATCATCACTGGGGACGAAAAATGGGTTGTATACAACAACGTCAAACGCAAGAGGTCATGGAGCAAAAAAGATGAACCGGCTCAAACCATTTCCAAAGCCGATATTCACCAAAAAAAGGTGATGCTGTCTGTTTGGTGGGATTTTAAAGGAATCGTTTTTTTTTAGCTTTTACCGGATAACACAACGATTAATTCGGAAGTCTACTGTCATCAGCTGGACAAACTGAATGATGCACTTCAACAGAAAAGGTCAGAACTAATCAACAGGAAAGGTGTAGTGTTTCACCAAGACAACGCGAGACCTCACACAAGTTTGGTCACTCGCCAAAAGCTTTTACAGCTTGAATGGGATACAATGCTACACCCACCATATTCTCCAGACCTGGCACCATCGGATTATTATTTGTTCCGGTCACTCCAAAATTTTTTAGACGGTAAAACCTTCACCTCAAATGAGGAGGTCAAAAACCTCCTCGATCAGTTTTTTGCCAGCAAAGACCAAAAATTTTATGAGCGTGGAATTATGCTACTACCAGAAAGATGGCAAAAGGTGTTGGACCAGAACGGTCAATATATAATTTAATAAAGTATTTGTTTATTATACGAAAACTGTCTTTCATTTCCACAAAAAAAAAAACGAAATGACTTTCCGAACAACCCTATATTTACATTTTAATGGACCATGGTGACTCCCCATATTATAACCTACGGTAAGCCCCTAGGGCTTGCTCAAATAATAATCCATACGTCAAACATTTATTACAGTCAGAAAGCACCTGTCACAGTAAATACCTAACAAACATTTACGTAGGTAGGTCCGTTTTTTTACAATGATTTAGTTCCGAGTCGAATACGTCAAACTTGGCGACTTTTTAATAAAAATTTAGATAAAACATCTTGGGTTAGACGTTTTGTTGGTCAACTGGTTCCAGAATATCGTGTCATCTATTTCAGTTGCACCAATTTCGGTTGCAAGGTTAATTTTCATTAATTAATATCCTTTAATGTCGCATGAAATTTTACGAAACCGTAGTCTTTTTACTTGTTCACGAGGAAACCTAACCTAACCACAAGGACTATATGGAAATAGCAAATAGTTTAGTATAGTTTAGGGTAAACGACCTATCCCAATACGATCCTATTCACTAATTTTCGTTAGGCAGGTTTTTTGTAATACTTATTAAATTATTATTGCTCGTGTTTGTTTATTCCTTTTTCGCTGGTTGAATTAGAAAAGAGGACTCTATGGAAGTCAATTAGAAGTAGGCGAGATAGGTTGGTAGGACACCTTCTTAGGCATGAAGGTCTAGTCAGAAACATATTAGAGGCAGAAACGGGAGTTAGGAGGGGTAGAAGTAGACCTAGATTAGATTACTATTTGCAAATAGTTAAGGATGTGGGTTGATCTAGTCTTCCGGAAATGCGAAGATTAGCTCAGGATAGAAAAGAGTGGAGGCGCGTGTCCAACCAGACTTAGGATTGACAACTTTATGATGATGATGATAAGAATAACTATGCTTTGTCACTATCCGGTACCCGCCCGGATCCTTAAAAGTACTGTATCCAAACCGAGCACCTAGCCCACCTCTACTTAGAACGACTAACAGCTTATCACGTTGTGGTATTACCCTTCAGTTTGTGACTTTCATACATTACCCTTATTTACGTTTAAATAATTAAAGTAAAGTAACCGCAAGGGCGGGATTATGTCTTTGAATTCCAGAATATCCTAACGGCTAAAACGTAGGAATTTTTCTTTATAGCACGCTGTATGTAAATTTATTTACGTCATTGGTATGTTTATGCTTCTGTAGTCGTCTCATCGCTCATTTCTCGCCGAATTCATCGAACAGTTAGAGATCCAAATTAACTGCCGTTGTAAGATGCCGTGGTAGTATTTTAGCGCGGTTGGTTCTCGGCGGGCCGGCGCTTTGGTGATAAGATGGTACCTTTCCAAAACATACGGATGACCTTGGGCAACGGGTTACCTAATTCGGACGAAGACTCTCGTTCGTATACGCGTTATTTATTCGAAAGGCGCTACAACTCATTTGAGAAGTTGCTTGTTATGCAAATGTATGAATTAATTACGCACGAAAACCTAATAGTAATCAGATCGAAGTAGAAGAACTTCTTGATGATGGATTTGAAAGGAACGAATCGAAATGCTGAACCTATGTCAAAAAGAAATTTTTATTAATTATTTATGAGTTGGAAAGATCCGAAGAACTAATATCAATATTGAATGAGAAAAGGAAATCAATATTCCTGGGAATAAACTTTATCGTATGTTTTATATATATATATTAAGAAATGATACCATAATGTAAAACCAAAAAGTTGTGATAAACTTTTCGACATTCAAGTCATCCATAAAAGTTGCCTGTTGTCAAACAAGCAGCTAACTTCTCGACACTTTTCAAAGTTTCTTACAAATTTAACGGACTGTTGAGTTCTTTTTCGAGCATCAGTTGAGTAAAATGACAGCACACCGATTATTTAGAAAAGTTTAGGATAAATGCGAGTTAGCTATTCAGTTATATAATGGTATTTTAATATATACAACAATTTCTTTACATTATATCAAATCTTACACACTACACAATTCTTTGTCAGTTTCTAAGATATACAAATTTTAATCTATATTTTTTTTTAATTAGGTCCTCACTTAAAAAGAATTAAAGTAAAAATATTTTTTTCTGTCGCAAGTACAAGTGGGGAAGTACATACACTGATAGATATTGAAACTTCCAGATGAAGTGCTTACTTTCCCCAGATAAAAATGTTCAGTCTCTCAGAGTCTCTGAAAGCGAGACTCGAGTCTCCGTCTTTCATCGAGTCTCTCTGGTGTCACTGTTCAGCGTCTCTGAACGAGAGACTCGAGTCTCTCAATTTTTCAGTTTTATTCATTCAGTCTCTCTGTGAGAGACTCGAATCTCTGAATTAACAATTTTATCGTTCGAGTCTCTCATACAGAGACTGTGGGAGATCCATAAAAACTCTTAGACAATAACTGAGAGACTGTGAAAGACTGTGAGAGACGCTCTCAGAGACGCTGAAAGACTCTGGGAGACTGAAAATTTTTGTCGAGGATAGCGACGTTTAGTACACGCAATTGTTACGATTTTACGCGCATCATCGCGCGTCGAACGCGTCTATCTACGTGCAGCCTTATTCAATAAGTTTTTGTGTCAATTTTTTTTTTACTTTTGCATATTTTTCCATTTCTATAATTTTGTTCAAGCTACTTCAATTACATTAATATTTCATAGTTTTTTCTTTCGAAATCTATTTAGGCAGCGGTTCACTTGAATTAAAAACTGTGTCAGAGAATTTTAATTCAAAGTGCACCGCTGATGCTACTTTAATTGTAGGACGCGTGGTTTCGGCGAAAATGTGTGGTTCAGCAGATGTTTAATGCAATTACTCAATCGAACTGTTCATGTCTTAGCCACACAAGAATTAGCATTTCGCGGTCATTGGAAGTATTTTTTTTCTTCATTATGTAGATACTTCACTGGAAGCATCTTAACTCAAACAACAGTATGAAAGCATTTAACAGTTTACTGGAACTTCTGTCGGTGAGAACTAGCATTCTAATGTGCATACAGTTAAAGCTGCACCACGGAATTAAAAAAATCATCTACAACTTAGGGAAAATACAATCTAAAAAGTAGTGTTGGGCCGGGTACCCGGTTTGACTCCAGCACCCGACGGATCCGGCATTTTTTTAGGATCCGACCGAGTACCGGATAATAGCGTCGGCACTCGACACAACTAGAGCCGGTTACTCGGTTATTCGGTGCCCAGCAAAATAACTATAAAAAGGACTTCTAAGCAGAGACGTAGATACGGGTCAGCCGAGGTCTATGCAATGAAATTTTTGACCAAGGTGTTGGTCCACCCTTAATATCAACTTAACTTGGTATAACATAAAATTTAAAAGTAATATGTATGTAAAATGCTTTGATTAATACATAACTATGTGTCGTTGTTATTGAATAGTGCGAAAGTATCAAAATAGGAAATTTTGCAATTTTTTCCTCATCAACCACATGGCCGAAGGGTAGTGAAAAATGGGAGGAATTGACGTGCGGTCTGAGGCACTTT